TTTGATTATTTTTTTCATTTTTCACGATTTTTTACCATCTACATGGGGAGGCTTATATGAAACTCTCGGAGACTCGGTATAATGCACAAATGAGTTAAAATAAATGAGATACTAGCCAGAATTGAAAATAAATTTGATACTTGAACGAATTGAAAATAAATGTGATACATACCACTTTTATTTTCAATATCTTTCAAGTATCAGATTTATTTTAAACGCGAGTTAGTATCTCATTTATTTTAATTCATCGTCTTGTATCAGTATTTTTTTAAATAATGTTTGGAGCTCATGATTATTCTTACCCATTCAATTGTATTTCAATTTAGTAAATGACTAAAATAAAGTTAAAACGATTCATGTCCAACCATTTTTTTCATTTTCCCGCCATCATTTAACTACGTCAGATTGCGTGATATACACGAAATCGGTGTTAAACGTCAATGTTTCACATGCTGTTTCTGACAGGTTTTTTAAAACAAAATGTTTGAGAGATTTCGCTTACCAATCACATTATAATACAGCATCCTAAAACTTATAGATCCATAAATATACATTTTCAATGGATTCCAAAAGTGAAGAAGTCAATGATGAAGATCGCATTGAATTACCACCAGACACTATAGCAATTTTAAACGAATTCTTGTACAAGAAACATATGCAAGATTCCATGGAATCAGAGGAAAAAGAATTCGAAGAAGACTGGGTACAGTATATTTTATTTTATATATATATTCAATTTTGAAATGTCATTTTTTATATTCAAAACAGCAATTATCACAGTTCTGGTACGACAAAAATACTGTATGTTCACTATCAAAAGTATGTTTGAAGTTGATTATTGAACGTCACCAATATCAGAAACCATCACAAATTGCTATTGCATTACTTTGCTGCCCATCACTTTATAAATCTGTTAAAGCCATTCATCCCAATGGAATTGTACGACTCCTCGAATTCGACACAAGATTTTCTGCATTTGGTAACGATTTCGAATATTATGACTACAAGGACGTGAAAACAAACGAAATTCTTCAAAATAATTATGGGAATTTTTTTGATATTTTAATTATCGATCCTCCATTCATATCGAAGGAATGTATTGAGCATGTCTCTACTTTAATACACGTAATTAAAAAAGAAAATTCAAAAATTATCATGTGTTCTGGACAAAAAGCAGCAGATTGGATAAAAAATTATTTATTGCTAAATATACAGGCATTTCAGCCAGGTCATCAAAGAAATTTGGCCAATGAGTTTAGCTGTTACGCAAACTTTGATTTTGACAATTTATTATAATGTGTGTAATTTTTATTACGAATAAATATTGTTTTACATAATTTGAGTTTTTATTATTTCAAACTCTTGAATTATCAAATTTAGCAAAATTTATTGAAAAAAGTGAGAGACTTTATCAGTTATGGACGTCAATCTATTGTTGAAATAGTAAATTAATTTATTTATTTATTCTACAATCAATGTGATACAAAACTATTTTTTAAATTCACTCTTATAAAGTTTGTGACCGTATTCGATGGAGAATCTTAGTAGTATACTTATGTACATTTCGTCCAACCATAGGCAACAGAGGGGGGTTATTCAATGCAAGCAAATGCGCGCGTAGAAAAGAGAAATAAATTCAGTTCAGATCGATTTATGTGTTCTACTACCATTATCAGTAGACAAATCTGACGACATTCCGCTACTTTGTCTAATTCATTCCAACATAGTCAGCTAAAACCACAGCAATGAAATCCCTACTACCGTGCTAGATGGTGTCGACACGAGTGGACGGATTTTTAAATTTATTTGAACGACGCCATGTTACTATACTTGTCCATTACAACGTACATGTAACAGAAGAAACACACAGTCCATTTCCACGCTATTGGACATAATCGATTTGAACCGTCAATGTGAACTAGATCAAGTATAGAACTTTCCATAGGATCATATACGATGAATATGGATTACACAGTCTGTTTCAAAATACCGTCACCAATGTCGACACCATTTGACAATAAAATTTTGACAGTAAAAATATATGTTATTGTTGTTGTCGTTTCATTGCTGTGGCTAAAATACCAAATGAGATTCACAGTAAAGGTGACGCTAACATCTGTTCGCAAATGGTGGAATTATTGGAGAAATCCCGAGACAGAGCTCTTGTTCAACTGAATGCTACATGGTATGGCGAATGATTGAATTCTAATGTCAATTATCAACACTAAATTTATAAAAATTTCATTTTAGGAAACGTATAATGGAACAGTGCAAAGAAAAATTGCAATCGGAAGGCCACTGGGATGATTCGATAGACATAAATGATTTGAATGGCACTGTTGCAAAATTGGTACAGATGTATCCCGTAATTGTAAATGTTGTCGATGGCTTAAATAGCGGAATGTCGTCAGATTTGCTGAACTGCATTTATTGCAAAGCACATATAGACCACATCAATATTTTTTTCTAAAATATCAATGTTTATTCCATCTTTTGAATGTAACATGTAAAATAATTTGTTCCAAGTCACAAATTTATTTCAGTTATTATTTTTTCCAAATTCTTCATATAAAACTTTCTTCACAAGCGTTGAATACGTTTAAAATAAACTTTGAATACACTTTTCTCTTCAATTTCAAATCAGTTTTTATTAACTTACACAGGTCGATGGAAATTATTATAAGCAATAATCTATTAGCAATTGAAACTAACAAATTAAATTAACAATATAATACTTGAAAAAATGAAATAAACGTGTTCTCCTGTTGATATCTTCAGATGAAATAGTCTCAGACACACACTTTTACAGACATCGATAGCTAAAATACAGAAAAAAATATTTGGAAAATGAGGGAAAGAAGAAAGTGCAAACGTCATTTTAACAACAATCCACTGGGTATGAATGGAATGCAGAAACTCAGAACCTGGCTCTCGATAGAGTTGTATCATGCATTTATATGTGCACATAAATATGTATTCTTTATTTCGTATTTATGATTGATTAATGATTTGGTGTTTGCCGTCGTTTAGCATGTGTGTATGCTTTTTTTCTTACTTCGTTGCGGTATTATTGGTTGGATCCCGTTTTTTGCATTTAGGTACCTTTTATCACCTACTTTTTCAAACTCGCTCTGGTTACGCATGCCGTGAAAAGGCAGCAGCTACCAGTAACACTGTTCGTGTCAATAATTACAGGACACGTTACGTTGATGCCATTACAGTTATTATGTACACAGTTGATTATGCATGCAAACGGTTCGCGTGATCGATTTTCCTTTATGATTTATTATAATTGATATGTATATTTCGTTTATGTAAATATGGTAATGGTGTGGAGGTTTAATTTTGGCAATGGCGTGAGTATTCGCGTGACCGCTTAATTTTGGCATTGAATAACCCCCCTCTGTTGCCTGTGGTTTGACGAAATGTACATAAGTATACTACTAATCTTTAATTTGTGTTTTTTTTTTGGAATAATTAAAAGAAAGACATTTTTATTTTACGAATATCTTTCCGTTTTTATTAGAATTTTTTCTTATTTTCTTTAGTTAGTGTCAATTGAATAAGATGTTTAAATCTGATGATGGGAATATTTTTCTTTTGTAGTTGTTGGTGGTTTGGTTGATTTTTTGGAGGCAATTTATAGCCGTTAATCAATCTCAAAATATGTTCTTTCGGTTTTTTTTTTGTATTTGTTTGCTTGTATGTATTTTTACAAAAGATTTACGACATCAGCAGGCATTTCCTCAATGGTGGTGTTGTAGAACTGTTCAATGTCATTGAGTGCACGCTTGTCATCGTCGGTGATGAAGTTGATAGCAACACCCTTACGACCAAATCGACCGCCACGACCAATTCTATTTAAAGAAATACATTGATTATTCAATTTATTAAATGTTATTTTTGAATGTACCTATGAATGTAGTTTTCCCGATTAGATGGTAAATCATAATTGATTACTAAAGATATTTGTTGAACGTCAATGCCACGAGCCAAAATATCAGTAGTTATCAAAACTCGTGATGAACCACTGCGGAATTGCTTCATGATCAATTCACGTTCACGTTGATCCATATCACCATGCAATGATGATACCGTAAAATGCTTACTAGTCAAGTCTTCTGTCAACTGATCGACCTTACGGCGTGTGTTACAAAAAATGACAGCCTGAGTCACCGACAATGTTTCGTAAATGTCACACAAAGTACCAACTTTCCATTCTTCGTGTTTGACATTCACGTAGAATTGCTTGATACCTTCAAGGGTCAATTCTTCTTTTTTGACCAAAATACGAGCTGGATTTCTCATGAAGCTCTTACTCACTTCCAACACATCCGTGGGCATAGTAGCCGACAGCAGAACAACTTGAACGTCAGATGGAAGAGTCTTGAAGACATCATGAATTTGGTCTTTGAAACCACGAGACAACATTTCATCGGCTTCATCAAGCACAAACATTTTTATGTAGTTCGTACGCAAGACTTTACGATTAATCAAATCAAATACACGGCCTGGTGTTCCAACAACAACATGAGCGCCCGAGTCCAATTTGCGCATGTCTTCACGTACGTTGGTTCCACCGATGCACGCAGAACATTCGGCTTTCAAAAATTCACCCAAATTGATGACAACCTTTTGGATTTGTGTTGCCAATTCTCGAGTTGGTGCCAAAATGAGCGCTTGACATTCACGCAAGTTGGTGTCAATTCGCTGCAAAATTGAAATGGAAAACGTTGCCGTTTTTCCCGTACCTAGAAATATACATGTATAGGTTTATATCCATAAAATACTGCATAAATGAAAAATATTTTAAATATCCATAATAAATATGGTTGAATTGTTAAAAACGATTAAAGTTTTATATTTTCCATAAATAAATTTTGTAGAATGACCGGCGAAGGTTTCCGGCGATCTTTGAACAATGTAACAAATCAAATGAAATCAAAGCTTTTTTTACCAGATTGAGCTTGAGCAATAACATCATGCTCCTTGATACACGGCAAAATTGCGCGTTGTTGAATAGCCGAAGGACGCTCAAAACCATAAGCGTAAATGCCACGAAGTAATTCTTCTTTGAGGTTCATGTCATCAAAGTTGTCGACGACTTCATTCCAGTTGCTCTCGATCAAACCCTCAGTTTCCAAGCCTGCTGGTCCATTTTTGTATTCCTCGTCACCCCTGTAAATAAGTCAAAATATGAAAAAAATGTATGTTTGTTTGTATTATTAGAAAGAAATTTTTTGCAAATAATCGACGACAACAGTAAATATATAAAAAAATTCATTTTTCACTAGCTTCACTCAAATATTAATATTCAAAGTAAAATGCATATGTACTATTTCATGTAGTATGGTGAAGACTATATGGTGATTTACGCAGTAAGGCGTACACGATGACGGCATATACTTTTGTTAATCAAGCGTGTATTGAAAATATACATCATAAGTAAATCATGAAGAGAATGCAATTATAATGAACATAACCTTAACTGCGAACAATATGTTTTCATACTTGAAATGAAATTTTATGACGACAAATTTCTTTGTATTCGCTCTATCGTCATCACCTTTCGTTTCAAGCTGTAAAACATATTATTCGCAGTCATTATAGTTGAATTCTCTTCATGTTTTACTTATTGAAAATATACACGCTTGATTTCTTGTATACATACACATATATACAATTTTACCTACAATTTATATTTGAGTGAAACTCATGGGAAGGAAGCCGATCATTGAATTTATTATTTAATTATATTATTGTCGTCGATTAATAAAAGTATTGATCAGATTTTTTTTTGAACATCAAGCACAAAGTCGTATGCATTTAAATAAATCGCACAAATATCCGGCATGAGATATTTGATTACAATGGGATTACTCATCACGCCAAAGATGAGAGTATTTGAAATATTAAATTTTTTCTTATCATATTTTTTTTTTTTTTTTTTTTTCAAAAAATTAACAACTTTAGGTCCAAAAAAAAGATGAAAACGGAATTATTATAGAATTATGGACAATAAGCTTGTGTTGGATATCAAATTTAGTTCAAACTCTAATGGCGTGACAATGACATGAATGCTGTGGTGTAATATGCAAAGGTCTATCTTTACATATTCCAAACTAAAAGTTTGAACTTGAGTTTTCATCAGAAAATTCACGAAAATTCACAATAAGTTATGCAACAAAATACACAAAAACTATTAAAGAAACTTCTTAAAAATTTATTTGAGAAATTTGATTAAAAAATTCAATAAAATACTAACATTTTTCAAAAAAATTACTTTGGCACTTTTACACACGTGCTTAAATGATTCAATATAGCCAAGCGAAAGAACGCCATGTTGAAAAAGGTTATAATACATCATTTTAATAAGCAAGAAAGTGGCTTCTATGTATTCGTTTTGCTTCATAAGCGTATGACGTTACCAACTGCTAAAATATTAATGGGCGGCAAAAATTCATTTCTTTTTGTTCGATAAAATACATTTCAGAGGTAAAGATAGAAATTTTGTTTGCAAAGTGTCATTATTATTTTATAAAATCTATAGGTTTTATTTTAGTTTTTTCCTGTTATTTATAAAATAAGTTTAATAAATATATAAAAATAATGTTTTGCGTACGAGTTTGAAATAATTTGCAATTGTCTATATTGGTACCCTTGATATGAAACAATAATGCGTTTAGTTCTAATTTCATGTTACTGACTTAATGTTATTATTAAAAGAGAAATAGAAAACAATTATCTTGAATTTCAAAATAAATGAAAATTAAAAAAATGTTGATTTTGTAAACTAATAAAAATAATAAATTCTCACATTCTTGAGCAAAATAAAATTTATTTGACATGCGCCACCTAGAAAGACATTAGAGATGTATTCATCGATCGCATTCAGTTCTCTGACATATCTCATGCCGACCAAACATACAACAAAATATAGTGTAAATACAATTGTTATTGAAAGTTTGTATTAAACGAACGGAAAATTAATAGGCAGAATAAAATAGTGCTTGAAAACTTCGAAAGCGAGCATTTTTTATGGTGTAGTTGAATTATACTCTGCAAAAAGAAATGGCATCTCTCATAAGTAGTCCACAAGTCAACTTACCAGAAGCTAATTTCAAAGAAAAAGTACGTTGCGGTGAGGTTTATCGTTTAAGAAACGGGAACGAAATGTTTCAAAAATTTTATTACCGATGTTTGGAGTGTTCGATGGACTTTGAATCATCGCCAGAGTTTGAAGAGCACGTCATTGCCCATTACTTGCAAGAAGACGAAGATGATTGCTCAGCGGTTCATAATTTGAAAAGCAATGAAAATGTTATTAGTATATCTTCAGATGAAGATGAAGAAGAAGAAGAAGAAAATGGCTACTTATACGCATTCGAAGTGGCTTCACTTGTTGAAGAAAATGTTTCCGAAACCGACCTACCGTTACCACTGATGCAAATGTTGGAACATTCTGTCGATAGTTGCGACCAAACAATACAATTAAGTGAAGTAAGTGATGAGGATGATGATCGAAATGTGGTGTTTCCCTGTGAAGGATTACGAAAACAAGCTCTGCATCAATATTCGGAACACTGTTGCACACAATGTCCAGCATATTTCAGTACAAAAAGCGAACTGAATTTTCATTTACATGTTCATACGCTTCCGAATACTGTGGTATGTCCGCACTGTTATGAAGCATTCCCGAATGTACTAAAGCTCAATGAACACATAAGTTTGATTAAGAAAAAAAGATTACGACAGAGTAAAAATTTGAAAAAATGTAAACGAGCCTGTCTGTCTCCACATGATAACGATGTTAAAGAATTGGGAAAAGAAAATCAATGCTGTATGGACCTCAAGGAAACAAAAAACATCGCTATGGATGAAAAATGTGAAAATTCGAGAGATGGAAATGACGCAATTAATTCCACAATAGATGCCTCAACGAATGTCACAACAAACTGCGAAACAAACAATTCCAATGAATTTAACCAAAATATGTTAAATAATACGTAAACTAATTTAAATATATATATAAAGAAACGTCCTTTTCTGTTCATTTGAAATAAGATTGATAAATAAAGTACAATCTTAAGAATTTTATTTCAATCAGATTTTGGTTAAAAAAAATTACTGAATTTAATTATTGTTCATAATAAATGTTCATAAATTCCAAATCCCTAATTTCCATGCTGTCTGTCTTTAGACGTTGTTTGAGAATTTGACGCCAAATTGTCTCTCTATCACGGTTATTTTGTATGCCAATTCGCTGCAATGAGTTGTCGTTTAACCGAAGCAAAGCTCGTCCTGTAATTTCATGCTAATTTTTGAAAAGAATACATGTTAACTTAATGAAGATAACTTCATAGTTTCATAATTTACTTGCAAAAACAATTCACTGTACTGTAAATATTCGCTACAATGTCTACGATACCACTTCTGTACATCAGCAACAGTCCAAAGTAATACTGATTTTGGACGAAATGTCTTAGTCTGTTGGAAATAAATACGATAATATTTATATATAAACACTAACATTTTATTGCATTTTTTTTAAGTATTCTAAAAAGTTTATTTATCTGATGAAGAGATACAAACCTTAAGTTTGCTTATAGAATTTTGTTCTTCAACCATTTCATTAAAATGAAAATACACAAATGATAATTAAAAAAAAAGATCACTTCTCTTTCTTCTTCTTGTCGATATTAATATCTAAAACTCTATGTGCAGTGAAGTTGTCTGCTTTTTGCAGTTTGTATATGTCAAAAAGAAAACAGAAAATTGACAGAAGTTTATTCAACAAAAAACAGTAATAAAGGGAACACAATGGAAGAAACAAAAAAAAGTGCTACTGAGAAAGCAAAAGAACGAATTGAACGTTTGCATAAATTACACTTGCAAAGAACTACAGGTATGAAGATATTTGAAACTAATTTATTAATTCCATTAAAATACAAATTGTTAAATTTTAACCCAGCACGAAAACTAAACCACGCTGAAGTAGTTGCAGAAGATGCACGCAACAAACTACCCACAAATTTTGAAGCACGTCAACGACAAGCAGATTGGCTAGCAGCAAATGAAAAAGGAAGATCTGAAGCAGCAGCAAAAGGTTTAAATTATGACCGTATAAAGTTACTTAATGTATCAGCGGTGGAAGCAGCGAATAATGAGAAAAAAAAGCAGAAAAAAAATCCAGATCCAGGCTTTACTAGTTACGAACAAGCAACTGCACGACAATACAACAGACTTGTGAAACAAATGCCGACGATGGATATGGAAAAATATCAAAATAAACGCCGTGCAGTCGGCGACAATATCTTTTATGGCGATGCACACACAATTTCACAAGGAACACATAGGGACACTCCACAAGCAATCGACAATATGGTGAATGACTTGGAACAACAAATGATGAAAAGGAAGAGCTTCTCAAGACGTCGTATGCACAACGATGACGCCGATATTGATTACATAAATGAAAAAAATGCTCGCTTCAACAAAAAATTAGAACGATTTTATGGAGAACATACTGCAGAAATCAAACAAAATTTGGAACGCGGTACAGCCATTTAAATTCGCTCACATTTATCAGATAACTTGGTCCACCAATAATAAAGATGTTAATAATGCAATGAAAAATGAATGTTTTTTATTATTCTAAAGCTCAGAACTCATTCAGTATTAAACAAATATTTGGATATAATTTTAATACTCCTCTTTTTTCATTCCTTTAAAATTTTGTTAACAACTGTACTGTTAGTATATATGATTTTTTTCTACTTATTCGATTTAGAAATGTTTTTACTTTGGGAAGTGTTCTTTAGATAATGCTTCTGCATCCACATTAATGGCAACTGTTGTATCCTCTGTGTATATAGTGATATGATCCGATTCGTCAACAGAAACATAATTTTCGTCTTCTATATTGGAGTCATCTAAATGGCATAAAAAAGCATCATCTTCATATGTTGGAAAAAAATATTCGGGCATATTCCAATCCTTGTCCGTTCCAAGAGAGTAGTGCTTGTTTTCCTTAAGATGTTCGTTCAGTTTCGATACGTTTTCGCAGCGTTCATTGCATTTGATGCATTCCAAAGTGTACATTTTTCTCCTGACGAAATTAACAATTTTCACTCGATTATAAAAAGACAATGATTCCGTTTGTTGATCAAAATCAATTCCATGTGAAAATTTCATATGATTTTTTAATTTCATGAAGTCTTCACTTTTTTTGTCACAATACAAACAATGTATTAAAGTGACTTCTTGGTTTTCTTCTTCCCAGTCGGACCAATTTGAATCACTATCACGTTCAAAGACGCTGCCAATATTGCTTTTTAATGCCTTTACCTAAGGAAGAAAAGAATCGAATTAATTTAAAATAATCGATAAATAATCGAAAATAATCGTAAAACAATCAATAATAATTAATAAGCCATTTTTTGCTAATGCCTTTACCACAGTGTTTTTATAGCTTTTGGCGTGTGATTTTTTTCGCTGCTGATAATTAGTCGATTCATTTTGATAAAACGATAGAAAAAAACGATCATAGTAGTTGTTTTCCGGATTAATTCGTTTATGACCTTTTTTGCGCATATGTTCTTTAAGTGTTGAACGATCCTTGAATATTTTTTCACAAAATATACATATCAAACTATCCAACTTTAGTTGTACAGTTTTTATAAGTTCATCAATGAAAACTAAATTTTCTGGCTTTCCCAATTGCATAAAATGTTTCGAAAATAAATGCTCAATGAATTGCTTTCTCGTTGACTTTATTATATCACGGCAAAACAAACAATTTCTTTCAAACGTATTATCTTTTCTTTCGAATTGATGTTGAGCTAGTGCAAGTTCCAGGCGTTTTCTTCGCAGTTTCTGTCTTATTTCATTATCCTGTGGTGTGACATCACAAAGCAAAAAATATTTTTCATTTTTTGATGGTTTGCCACTGGGCAATTGATCCATGATGATGGTCGTACAGAATTCTCCAATTTTTTTATCATCGCCAACAAAGACTTCACGCCAATATGTTAGATAATCGTGTAATATAGCAACATCATCTTCATCGCCAATAATTAATCGATGTTCCAAATATAAATGTGTAAGATATTCTGATTTTTCTGTGTACAGCGTGAACAATTTATTGCAGAATAGACATGGCAGAGAGAATGATGATGGATATAGCTGCTCTTGAAACGAAACTCCAAGGCACTCAGTAAAATTTAAGGGACCAAACACACCTTTTTCACTCATTTTGGTCGTACTTTTGAGAAAGTTCTTTATTTATAAACTTCATATACTGAAAATAATCCACAATGTTTTTCTTCTACTTTCATTTGACATTTAATGCAGTACTAGAACTCATTTTTTTAAATTTCATAGTTGCTTCACGTGTCTTTATACCGAGTGGATAATTAAAATTAACTTTTATAGCTAATTACTAATGACTTGACATTGTAATATTATAATTACTATTAAAAATCTTTGCATTTACTCATTAATCAATAATTATAAAGCACACCTCGGTACGTTTTCTGAGAGTCACTAAGACGACTCCAACTGTGTAAAATAACTATTACATAATTTTTTAAAAATAAATCGGTTTTATATCTAATTCCAATTCAATGGGGGAAGTTCACGTTCATCGCATATCCGAAGAGTGTTTTTTATCGGTGTTATCTACAATTTTCTTCGAATTTTGAAAAGTCATTTTTTTATGTTCTTATAATTATGACGGAATTATGTCGGTTAAAAAAAATATGTCGGAATTATGTCGGTACCCAGGAAGCTCAATAAAAAAAAGACTTTTCGCATAAAGTCGAGGCTATTCATTTATTTTCCGAAACGACGACTAGTCGTGAAAAATAAAAGCTTGGGAACTATGTGGGAAATATGTCGGTTCAAATGATATACTCAGATTTTGAAATATGATTGTGATGTCGGTATGCTACCACAAAAATCATTTTTTTCAAAAAAAAATTTAAAAAAATTTTCTTTTTCCTTAAATTATTTTTGTTTTTTATATGTGTTATATATATGTCGGAATTATGTCGATTATGTATCTATCACAAAAAGTCAAAAAAAAATTATTTTCTTCGAAAAAAATGGAAAAAGGTCTTTTTTTTACAATACTTAGAAAAAGAAAAATTTTACTCGACATATATTTTTTTCTATGTGTCTAATATTTATGTCGGAATTATGTCCCCTCCTTGAAAAATCCAAAAAAAGAAATATTTTCTCAGAAAAAAATTGAAAAATGTTTTTTTTTTTACAATAGTTCAAAAATAAAAAATTTCCCTCAAATTAATATTGTTTACTAAGTATCTTATATTTATGTCGGAATTATGTCGAATTTAATAATATCACGGGGACGGCAGTATATGTGATATACCACACATAGGGGAAGACGGGGCAAACCGACGCACTCAACATATCTCGGAAAGAACAACGCCAATATGTCAAGTACACAGAAAATGTGGCCACTTGTGTTATAGTATTTCACATCCACAGAATTTTGATTATCGTGATCATTTCATCACTGTTCTCAGCTGAAGCTTGGAATTTTACACAGTTGATGTCGAGTACTTTCGCGGTATATATACAATTTTTGATATTATTTGTGAGTTTTGTGATATCGAAATTGGAAGAACATTTATCACTCAGCCAAAGAATAGTGGTTAGCGTGCAGGTTTGTGAGCATGAGGACACGAGTTCGATTCTCAGTCAAATTTGGTCCACGACTAGTCGTCGTTTCGGAAAATAAATGAACTTCCTGGGTACCGACATAATTCCGACATATTTTTTTTTAACCGACATAATTCCGACATAATTATAAGAACATAAAAAAATGACTTTTAAAAATTCGAAGAAAATTGTAGATACCACCAATATTATCACAAAATTTTCTTTGAAAAAAAAAAAAACGTAAATCGAGTGTGTGTCTGGCCGAATGAATGCATGAGTGAGTGAGAGATGATTGGGAAATCATTGGAAATGTAAGAAACTATATAGTTTGACCACACACATATAAGAAAAAAACAAATTGCTGACAAATATTTTTGATTTGTTGTGTAGTAGAGAGATGAGCCGGTGTTCACACAAAAGCATCAGAGCATCGTCACAGTGACAACATTGTGCAGCGAATGTACGGACTTACGACAGCAGTAATACACACAAAGAGAGAGAGAGAGATTTTGGTGAGTAGATTTGTATACTGTAATAAGTGCTCATGTTTGATAAATTTGTATGTATATTAGGGTGCATCGATTTTTTATTTCTGAAAATGCAAAAAACCCTTAGTGCGGCTTTTGTAGACCTGGTCGAGAGTAACATTTTTTGTTCTGGCACTTTGGCCTACACCCCCCTCATTTTCACCCTGCTCGATTTAAAGTTCGTAATTTTTCAAATGAATTTTTTTCAATAAATTTGTATGAAAGTGAATTGGTTTTAGTATTGTTGTAGATAGTATTAGAGGAGCTCTATAAGATAGGCCCATCACAAAAATGCACTTTTCATTTTTTAGGAAAAAAAGTTGCAACGAATTTTTTTTTCGCCCATCGATTTTCAAAAAAGTCATCTAAAACATATGCTTCCGTCAATACTTTTGCTCAAAATTCATGTATTTTTGAATTCCGCATGCCCAATTTACTAAAGTACCATGAATCGCCACAAAACTTTTTCCTGCAAACTTTTTTTCAGAACTCATTCGTCAATCAGAGCATTGGGTTTCATACAAAATCTGAAAAATTTCGCTTAAATGTTCACACATCGACTCGAAATTTTACACGGAGCTGGGATTTGATGAAAAATGACTAAAGCCAAAAAATAATTTCAGTTTGTTGTTGTCTTGTTGACTAGAATTATGTTTAGTATATGTCAACAAAATGAATTTTTGTTTTTTCATTCGGAACCATTACACTAAACATATCCTGTTTATATTCTGGTATTAACTAGTAATTATGATGTACTCTATGCCACGTATTCATAATTTTCATTTTTGTCACTTTTTGCACTTTGCTGCATCTTCAAAATGTAATCCTAGCAAAAT